CCTTTAAAAACCCATATCGTCATCATTTACTCTCTCTCTCTTTCCCCGAATGCACAAAGGGCAGAGGAGATGATTTTTTTGTCAAGAAACAAAGTCAAAACCCTCGTGTGTGTGCAGTTATGCAGTCTAGGGCCTAAAAAAATCTTTGCACAAAAAAACAGGGGGTTTGCTTTGCTTCCTTCCATCCTTTCTTCGTTGCAGCCACGATTCTCTGACATTTCACCACAAACGTGCCTGTCTGGCGACAAAAAGGAATTGTCAACAGCAGTAGCAACAACAAACTTACCAAGAAATCAAAGTGTGAAACTTCTCATTTAGGTATAAATTTCACGGCGTGACTTTTTGTTGTTTCTCTAACGAACAAACCAACTTGGTGTCTGTCTGTCTGTCCTGGTTTGTTATTCTTTGGCCAAGGTAAAGTGGATGCTCTGTGGGAGGAGGGGGAAGGAAAGGGATGCAAAAGTTTATTTAAGTCCTCGATTGTTGTGATTATTGTCTATGGCAACGGCAAGAGCAACATTAACAACAACAGCAACTGGAGTCCTTACATTTATTCCAACAGCCAACCATCCATTTGAGCTTTGTAAACAACACTCTGGGCTAGCCGTTGCCAGCTAGCAACTGACTTCCTTCCTTCCTCCACTGACTGGAAGGCACGCGTCTTTTTTGTTGTTGTGGCAAAACCTTTAATCTCAAGCATATTTAATGGCTGTTTATCGTTTTCGTTCGTATTGTAATATTTTGATTTTGTTTTAAAGATAACTGGCCCACACACCCAGCTAGCTAGCTTTGTGCACTTTTTGATTTTCAAAACAAAAAAAAAAATCTCAGAGAAGGGCGAAAAATTCCCATAAATTTGCATTACCCAAATAAAGGGCCATTCATGTGCCAGGGGATTTGTAACGAACGGCGTTTGACAAAAATTACTTTTTCGAAATATTTTCAATTTTATGATTGCTATCAATGATAATCCTGCCCGAATTACAACCTACATAGACCCCTGGGAATTTCAATATTAATAAGGCCATCATTAGACACATTTCAGATTGAAATCTAAAGTTAAAAAAAACAGTTTTTAAATACTTCTTGGGTGTTAGGTATTTTATTTGATCTGTGGCCATGTGGCTTTAACAAGTGACTTAAAACGGTTTGTGTAAACAGGGTATTAGCTAGTGACTTTCAAATGGCAATGGAATGGAATGAGTCATCAAGTAATTTAAATTTATTTTTAAAGGTAAAAATAGTTATAATTGATCATTCATCTACAATTGATGACACAATTTATTAAGTGGCATGGCCACTAATAAAAACATAGAACAAGTGTTGCTCTGTTTTGATATTCTTCGAATTGGATAGATAAAAAGGGAGTAAGAAACATTCACATTAAAATGATAGCCGCAAATGGATATATTAGACATAAAATTATTACAGTATTTCATTGGTTTATTTTTGCTCTGATCCAAATCCTACAAGAATCAACTAGTTTTGCATTTTTTCTTCGATTTATAAAGTAATTTTTCAAAATTTTGTCAAAAATTATTTGTTTCATAACATCTAATTGTCAAAATTTGTATTTTTAAATCCATTGCGCATATACAAATCAGAGATGGGAACCTGTTTTTATGTATGGTGTATGTGTGGCTGGGTGATTTGGAGGCAGTTTTTAATCCCAGGCTCCAACCCAAATTGCCGTCAAGTTTCAATGGATTGTGTGGTGTTCAAAAAATTAAAAAAAAAAAACAGAACGCTTATTCTGTTTTGAAAAAAAAATCCATGACAAATTAACCCGGTGGTTACTATTTTTTTCTGGTCTTCTATCATTTTTTAAACAAAAAACAATGCTAGCCAAAACAGGTGCACACTGACACATCGTTTTTGTTTTTCACTTGTTACATTTTCCTCCCCTAATCGTTTTCTATTTTCCATTGCATTGCATTGTGTGCATTTATTGTCGGTCATATCGATCGTTTTGTTATGGGTTCTACAACAGGTAGCCGGCTAAAAAGGTGTTCACCTATTTAGACAAAGTTAATTAGCAAATTTATGTTAAGTCATAGTGGCGGTAGCAGTGGATTAGAAAAACAAAAAATTCTCATTTATTTTCTGTTTTTTTTTTTTTTTTTTGTTATGGATCATTATGTTTTTGAAATTGGTTTTCTTGGGAAAATTTGAAAGTGACTTCAAGCGAGGTTTATTGTTTCCATGAAACAAAAAAACATGCAATTGCGTAAAGCAAATAAAATGATGAAGCATATTTTCTAAAAAAAAATATGTTTTTTTGGCTACCTAATATGTGCACAATGTTATTTTAATAGCAGACTGGTTTATGTTTTATTATTTGAGTGAAATTATTTTTTTTAATTTAAAATAGTCCAAAAAGTGTATAAAACAAGTTTTTACAAATGAGAAATTTGTTTAGGCCATTTGGATTTGACATGTTGATAGGCCACATTCACACTACTTTGAAGAGAAAATACCACTAGTATTTACACACAGAAAGTTTCCTAAAAAGGAAATTAGGTTTTCATTCGGACATTAAAAGTTTCTCAAAGATATAACTTAGGTTTTGAGAGAGAGAGAGAGAGAGAGAGAGAAAGCTTCGAAGTGTTTGTGATATTTACTTCTGTCAACTCCCTTTTCCAAAAACCAAGTTTTTCCGCACACTTTACTGCAAATGGGGTGTTAATATCTTTTATACTATTCGTATCTGTTATTACCCATAATATTTACGCTTCAGTATGTGGGTATATGTGTCAAAGAAGCTTTTACTTTTATTATTTTTATAATTATTGATCATTCACGTGAAATTGATGACACATTTCGTTAAGTGGCATGGCCACATATAGAACTTCCAAACATAGAACAAGTGCTGCACTATTGATGTATTCCTCGAATTGGATATATCAAAATGGGACAAGAATCATTCACAGAAAATTGATAGCATGTTTCTTTAGGTGATCTGCCAACACATTGAAATAATCAATTTTTTTAGTAACATTTTTATCTAATTGACATTTTTATCTAATAGAAGCATTTTTGTCATTTTTTTACAGTTCTGTTTGCACCATTTTAGTATTTTTCAGATTAAATAGATTTAACCGAGATACCAATTAAAAGAAAACTAGTGAAAAAATTTTATAAAGTGATTTGGGCACAAATCTCTACATAAACAATTTAACAATTTGGAAATTGGAAAAGAGAAAAAACATGACATCAATTAAGGAACTGGAACAAATAAAACTGTTTACAATTCATCGTTATTTGATGGCAAAACAAAAAATAACCAATAATATGAATGAGGATAACTATAGCAATTAGGTTTTGGGCCTATCTATACCGAACCTAAAATATGTGATTTTTTAAAACACATTTTTTCGAAAATATCACAAAACGTAAGTTTAAAAAAAAAATATAAAAAAAAAAACAATAAAGGGAAGGGAGCCTGACCATTTTGCAACAACAAAATACTATGATATCCCAAACAAACAAGACAACACTTTTCAATATTTTTTTGAATATTTCAAAAAGGTGGATTTGAAAAAATATTTTTTTAAATATTTCAAAAAACATGAATATTTAAAAAAGTTTTTTTTCAGATTTCACAAAAATCGGATTTAAAAAAATAAATATTTTTTTTTGAAAAAAAGTGGATTTGTAAAAAAGTATTTAAGGCATTAAATTAAATTAATTGACAATCCAAATAATGTGCCTTATGAAAACATGTCCGGTGTAAATAAGGTTCTACTTATGGTAGAAGAATACAGGTCAAAATTTTTAAAATGTATTGTCAAAGTAGATTTTTATATGTTTTCTTATTCGACGCTAATTGGAGGTTCTTATGATATGCATTTTTCAACAATTATTACAAATTTCAATAATTTTTCATTCAAGACTTTCAATTCCAAAATCTGCTTGACAGTTCATTGTCCCATCAGCTGTGTCTAACTGTATTCTTTTACCATGGTTCTTCTTACACAAATCAAATGACTATTCACAGGAAATCGATAACAAATATCTTAAGGTTGTATGGTCACATATCGAAGTATATGAGTTATGTGGAAAAATACGAATACTTTTTAAGCTTCTACCAGAATTGCGATTATTTTCAAATACTGCAGCTATTTATGGCACAAAGGGTACTTGAAACAAATGTATGGATAAAGTGCCAATAAAATAAGAAAACAATGTGTAACATGACCAAATACCTTCGTTACCCTAAAATAATACCAAAAAAAGCTTCAGCTTCAAAATTGTGCTAAAATTAAAAAAAACGCCATTTCCCCGCTTTGGTGGCAGACAATAAAAGAAACGAATTGCAATTGCACATTCATCTTGAGATCTTTTATAGCTTTCTATTATCTCCTTGCTCGTTAATTTCTTCTTTTTTGAAAAAATATCATCTTCTTGCTTGTTATTGTTAAATATAAATAAATAATTCATTCACATTATTGTGAGGTGTACTGAATACAAACAACAAATTAAAAAAAAAAAGAATTTATTTGTTATTTACTTGAGATGGCACGTAGATATCGCGGCATGCATGCATGTGTATCTATAAGCCAGGTTTTAACAAGAAAATACTGGTTTAGTATTGTACATAACGAATAAAGCTCTCTGAGAAAAACCATTAGGTATTTGGCCATATTTCTTATAATGAGAGTAAAGATGAGGGCGCGCTCTCACATGATGTTTTTTATTGAGAGATTGAAAGAGAACCTAAATAAACACAGTTCATGTGAATTTCTTAACAATACAGTTTTATTTTTGGTAAGGTGGGTGACTCAACATTTGAAGCTTGACTTGTAAAATTAGGAATATTACCGCGAAAATTTTCCGTGCGGAATGTGGGCATTGTTGATCAAAAACTATAAGGAATGTGTAAAAAACAATTCGCCCCCCTGCCTCGAGATACCTTGCTGTTCTCCCTCTTCATTTATATTTCACGTAAGCTCCCGATATTCTATATATCTTTTTTATATTTTAAAATTTTCAGAACTTACCTGTGGGTAGAATAGCATTATTTTCACGACGCCAGCTAATGGTTGGTGTTGGATAGCCACTGGCATAACATTCCATTTGGACTTCGCTTCCCTCGCTGGCCACCAAGGATTGTGTGGAGTTGTCAGAGATAACAGGTGGACGTCTCACGGACAACATTACATTGGCACTGACTTTGTGGGTAACAGACATTACAATTTGACAGGTATATTGGCCAGCATCAGTCTCTTGAATATCTTTGATTTGTAGTTTATATGTTGATGAGTTGGGATCGTAGCGCAGGGCAAATCTCGAATCTTTTATAACCAATGTAGAGCCCGTCGACAGGAATACAGAGTCACCAGCATTTTTGGTCCATATTACAGGATAGTCGGTGGCATATTGCACGGAACAATCAAACTCGACCGTACCACCAATGTCCTTGATCTGTTCTTGGGTAATATATGAAATTGTGGGTGTTCTTTGGGCCTGGACAACAACACCACTGAATAGCAGCACCGTCACAAGGAGGCCAAATATTCTGCTGGAGATTTGCTTAACGATTCTACTTCTAAACGGCGACATTTTCTGTTTTTCTATTTTTTTTTTTTTTGTGTCTTTAATAATTTTCGAATTTTTTAATTGATTTTGTTTTTCAAACAAACGAGAAGAAACTATTGCACCACACCCTAAGCCCGTTGTTAGAGACGTTTTATTGGAAAAGAAACGCTTAATAATTTAATGCTTTGGCTTGATCTTTTCAAGTTGATTTTCTTTTCGTTTTTGTATCTTCGCGACGTCGCGTACACAAGAGCTGCTGCTTCTTAAAGAGTCAAGTAGTTACTGGTATGGGTTTTGCTCTGCTCTCCTTCGTTTGATGCTCAGTTAATTAAGTGTGACTTCAATTGACTGTTCTCACATGCAAAACTGTTATACAAGACAAAGAGCGGCGTTTTCTGTTTTAAGCCAAGTTTAAACACACACAACTTAAACAGGGAGATCTTTACGTTGCCGTAATTTCTTTCTCAAATTGTTACTCTCTTTCTCACTCTTCACACACTTCCTTCCTTTCTTTCTCACTACCAAACAACACAGCACAAAGCCTTTAACCGTTACACAACTTCTACGCACGTCTTTACTCGTTGAACGTCGTCAAGCGAATGAATTTTGTTGTGTTGTTCGTGTCGCCTAACTAAGCTCATGTTAAATGTTGTTTGTGCGTGCGTTTCTATGTTTTGGGTGGGAAATATGTACGGCCCTCAGTGTGTGTGTGCGTGTGTGTGAGTCGGTGAGAATTGTTGTTTGGTTGTTAAATATGGCGCTCAATTAATACCCAGTAAACAATTTTTGCCGAATTCGGTCCGATTTCTGTCAGAATCTCTGAAAAAATGTCCGATTCTGATTCCGAATTCCTTCCGATTTCGGTACGAAAGTTGTATGGACGTGGTCACCGAATTCGGAAAGATTTTCTGAAAAAAATCTGAAAAAATATTAGATTTTCTGGACGAATTCGGTCCGAATTCGGTGAAAATTCTTGAAAAAATAGGAGAAAAAATTAGATTTTCGGAAAAGATTCGGAGGACAACTCCGAATTTCTGAAAGAAATCGGGCAGAATTCGTCTGGAAATTCGGCGGAATATTCAGATTTTCTGAAAGAAATCGGTCAGAATTCGAAAGAAAATTCTGAATAAAATTCAGATTTTCTGAAAAAAAAAAAAAAAAAAAAACGCTCAGAATTCGGGAGAAAGTTCCGATTTTCTGAAAGAAATCGTTCAGAATTCGGAAGAAATATCGAAAAAATCGTCACACCACTTAAAAATGAAAAAAAAAACACATATTTATTTAAAAAACAAACAATTTATTTCGGGTTTCGTAAAAATGTAGTTTAAATATTACATCTATAATACATTTACATTATAAATATTATTTTTATTAGGAACATAACATACAGTAGCACGTTTCTGTTTCAACTGCTAAACAAGAACTAAAAATAAAAAGCAGTGCACACAGAAATCCGGTATGTAGTTGTTTTTGCAATTTTTTTCCATCATATTTTTTTGGGAACGAAAGAGAAAGAGGCTGATTCACAACAACAACAAAACGCACATTTTTACAACGGAAAATCTAACAGTTCACAATAACAAATAGCATTTTTGCTTTGCGCTTTGTTGTTGTTGAGATCTTGAAATGAATGATCACAACAACAACTACTATGGGAGAGAATGTGTAAAACCACCACCATCCGTTTACATGTGGGAGAGAATATGCCAGAGCAATAGACAATCTACTCTCTCCGTTTGTACATTTTTCGAGTTTTTTTTCGCTTAAAAACACAGGAAAATGTGCAGAAATTCTAAAAAAAAAACGTTTAGAAAATCGGACCAATTTCTATCAGAAATTTCTGAAAAAAACGTCAGAAATTTCGGAAAAAAATCTAAAATCAGAGCAGTCGGAAAAAATTGTTTACTGGGATACTGCCAATGCATGCGAGTGTGTGTGTGTTTTCGATTCATCAACTACTATTCACACTTATACAGGTAACACTGTTGCAGCCATAAAAGGGTGGCCATGCAACAAAATTATTATTGCCGAGCAATATCTTTAAATTCGAACAGGTACTTTACATTTTTATGGAGAATTTTTGTTGCTATTTTAAATAATATTTTCATGCTAGTATCTGGTGTGCAATATAAACACACGCTGTTTATTCTAAATAAAGTTGTTTTTGTTTCCTACACGCTGTTTTTAGTCATTAAGATACCATTTAAGGATATTTTCATGGTTAAAAGTGTTATTAATAGGATTTCCAGGGATTTTCAACACTTGTTGCAAAGAAAAACAAAACAAAGACACTGCAAGTCATAAAAATGTTAGGGGATTAAGATGTGCATACCTGTGTTGGGGGAGTTAAGCTTCCGTTTAACTTCTTGCAGTCTTTACGTTCTAATCCGTTAATCAGACATATATAGGATTTTTAATAAATATAAATATATTAAAGATATTTATTTAAAATTAAACAGCTTCGTGGCGCAAATCGTATTTTTCGTTGCAGTACATTGTGAAATGTTGGATTTTTTCCAGTAAACCCTATTCCTGTCTGGGGTTTGTCCCATTTTGTACCGATAATTTAGTTTCCTTTATTATTCCTTTGGGATGTTATTACTCATTTTCATTTTGATTAAATGATTTAAAGTGAATTAATCTTTGTCATGTGTTCTATCGACGTTTCGGACGGGGTTTCCCTTAGCACCGGCCCTTTATTCGTCTGACTTAAGAGCATGATATTGGATATTATATTTGGATATAATCTTTCTATACAATGTAATTTCGTATGTTTTTGCATGGGTTGAAACGCGGTATTGCTTTTCGATATGGTTAACTATAAAAAAATATTTTCACATCTAAAATATTTTCGTATGACGAGTGGCATATTTGAAAAAGCAGTAAGGAAAAGTCAAAAGTCGGGCGGGGCCAACTATATGATACTCTATACCACTATGCATATTTAGTAGAGCTCCCGCAACAAAAGAATTTATTGGTAGTAGATCATACCACCCATCAAAATTTGGCTTTAGAGCAGTTATAATTTGGTTTCAGAGGGAACTAATATATGGAAGGCATTTCCAAATCTGAATCGATTTTTACTAAATTTGACAAAGACATTTATATCCTTTATAACAAATAACATTGCTATAGAGTGCATGATATCACTTCGAGGAGGATTATATTAAAAAAAATATATATCGGAGCTGAGTTCCACAAAATGGAAACGTACATTCCGATTTTCACTCCATTTGGGCTGATATTAGCCATTAGCCACAATAAACCTGAAATCGGATTAAGGATATATATGGGAGCTATTTCTAAATCTTAGCCGTTCTCGATAAAATCCGGCAAAGGTATTTCCGAGCTCTGGTATCAAATGTCATTCTTGTGGGGTGCATATTATGAGATGGATTTAAACACTAATCAGATGAAAAACATATATGGGAGCTATAGCTATATCTGAAGCGATATTCTCCGAATTTCATGTACTTGCTTCTAGACAGAATTCGGTCGGATGTGCCAAAATTCAGGTCATTTGGAGTGATATTGACCATTGGTGGACATTTAACCACGATATCGGTTGGAGATATATATGGGAGCTATATCCAAATCTGAACCGATCTTCATAAAATTTGGCAGATGTATTTCCGAGCTCTGTAAGATATCTGGGACCAAATATCATTCATGTAGAGTGTATATTGCGAATGTGAGGGACTGAAACACCAAATCGGATGAAATATATATGGGAGCTATAGCTATATCTAAACTGATTTTCAACAAATTTGATGTACTTGCTGCTAGATGGAATTCGGTCAGATGCGCCAAAATTTGGACTGATATAGGACATTTGGTGCAATATTAACCCGAAATCGGTTGAAGATATATATGGGAGCTATATCCAAATCTGAAGCGATATTGATAAAATTTGGCAGAGGTATTTCTGGGCTGTATCTCAATGTGGTACCAAATATCATTCTTGTGGAGTGCATATTGCGAATGTGAGGGAATGAAACACCAAATCGGATGAAATATATATATGACAGATATACCTATATCTGAACCGATTTTCACCAAATTTGATGTACTTGCTTCTAAACTGAATTCAGTCAGATGAGTCAAAATTCAGATCATTTGGACTCATATTTGTGCACAATCAATCCAAAATCTGTGGAAGATGTATATGAGATACATTTAAACCTATTCTCACCTATTTCAATAGGGTTCGTCCTAGGGCCAAACAGATATTGTTTGGAAATTGTCATCTCAATCGAATAATAAAGGCGACCTGGATGTTGTTCACAAGAATGCATGGACGGACTGACATGCATAAATCGACTCAAAAAGTGATTCTATGAAGATCCTAAAAAGTAACTATAGGTCTATCCATGGTACAATGAAGAGAAGGTAGGTAAATTTTGAAAAAATTGCAAGTATAAAGGTCTACCTGTTTGGCTTGTAATGTCAGAATTAGTATCAAAACAATAAAAAATTAAGCAACTTGTTGCATTTATTTTGAATAAATAATTGAAAACCGCGATAACTGAATGATAGGTCAACACTTCTTTTCAAAAGCATGTACTATATATCTCTAAAGGATTATTTCGCTACAAAACTCTAGATTTTGTCGATGCATACGTTGAAATAAACATTTTGAAAACACACGAATTTGAAGTTTTCTGAACAATTTTTTTGTTATTGAAAAGAAAACACATACATAAACAAATAAATATGACATATTAAGCCAAGAAAATAAAAAATTAAAATCATATGGTATCATAGCCCTACCTTGATATCATTGTACCATGGGTCTATCTAGCTTACTTTTTCATGTTACAAACAAATGCACAAAGACATGTGGTGTAGGGTATAAAAAGCCGAACAATGTCAACCATTGTTACAAATTGTTACTGGAAGTCTGTCAACACAAAAGTTGTGCAAAAGAGAGCGATTACAGAGAGAGATTTTCAAAGCAAAAAGTTGCCAAAACAATAATTTTGAAAAAAAACTGTAAACATATTGCACAACTTTACCTTCTTAATTCTACCATGATTTCTTTTTATAGCCGACAAAATGTTTTGTTTTGAAAAATCAGCTGATTGCTCCAAAGTTATCGCGGATATTCTGTCTAGTTACTTTTCACAGTTTTCTTGAATAAGAGCATAAAACTATTTACTCTTTCCTCCCAGAAAGAAGCAGCTAGTCAGTATCTTCTGGAAAAGTAACCAGACATACCTAATTTGAAAATAATTTCAGAATGACAGATGAGTTCCAATATAAAAAAGGATTGCCATTGCCGATTTTGCAAATGAAATTATCTCTTTACCTCTGGAAAGAGCATATATTCTGTCATGGATAGATCATTGATATCATGATGTCATTTTGTATTGAAAATGGAATATATGGGTTCACGTTTAATTTGACTACCAAGTGTATGTATTTTAAGGATGACCGATTTGGACATACGTTAATTTTTTATATGATGGAAAGATCGACTTGTCTCATCTCAACTTTGCATTTACTGGTTTTTCATATATTAATGAATCATATATCGATTACAATTTTTCAAAGTAAAAAAATTATAAATTACAATTTTCTCCTGTCTTTCTTAATAATCTCAAAATTTGGAAACATTTAATCGATTTTTTTGACAGTTTTTGCAATAAATTTAAGTGAGGGAGATAGTAAATTTTCTCAGCGAAAGTTGCTGAGTAAATTTTTAAACAAACAACATTTTATAATTATGATGAAATAATAAAAGAAGGAACCGTCATTGAGTACAAGGCAATTTCCTATACCGTTTTAGAGGCCACGAATTACTGTAATTTGACCAGAATTATGCTAATGACATCTATGTAGTGAAAAAATTACAGACTTAATGTCTGTTCGTTTACTTTTCGAGGAAGATCTTATACGGCAGCAATGTCGTTTGCAATAAACCAATGAGTGCACCAACAACATCCAGTAAAAATTTGTACATATTACCGATTAAACGAACATCCCTTAATGCGATAGGTTTGTGTCGTCGCTGCAGGAAAACTTCACATTTGACACACATCCCCGTATAAGAAGCCAGCTATATATTTAGCTGAGCACACAAACTACGGTAAATGACAACAATGAACTTTTAGAAGAAGAAGCATATGTTATGACTACTTGGTCGTCCGCCTCCTCGCCCAGTTCGAGTTTTATTTACCAATTGACACAGTCAATTGTTTTGCGTGTAGTTTTGTTAGATAGAAGAAATTATTGGCAGAAATAGAAAAAATAAGAAATGGCTGCTGTAGAACGTTTTGATATTGAAAAAGTAACGCAAGTTTTTCAAGACTGCTTGCATGAAGAAGATGACATTACAATGGATGAATATTTAAAAGGCTACGAAGAAATTAACAAGTATGTGCAAACACACAAACGTACATAGGCAGCTAGCTAGCTACAAGGACTTTTCGATCTTTGTTCAGATGACAGTCAGATTTTTTCATTTCGTTTCTTTTTTTAGGTTTTTCACCTTAATTGGAAGTGTATTCGGATTTGTTAGCAGCGATATTCGTGCTAAAATTGACATTTTAACCACATTTAGAAAAAACGATGAGAAAGCTGAAAACTTTGTAACGTTCAAAACCATGATGTCATACGAAAAGGATTCTGGGTTACTAAAAGATTCGAAATATGTATCAGGAAGTCGTACTCTATTACGTTTGCATCGAGGTCTAGGTAAGTGGGTGAACGGAAGGGGGAAATGACATAGACATCACGTTCTGAATTTTTGCTGGGTATCTTATCATAAAACTAAAAGAAAACATGATTTCTGACAGTAATAAATGCAATTTGGGGTAGATAGTAGATATTTGTTGCTAGAAATATTTTCGTTATACAAATCATGAGAAAACTTTATTTTTACATTAGAAGTCTTAATACGTATTATAGAACTTGTTTCCAAACATGACATTTAACAAAAAGCTCTACCAACATTATGTACAGAATTGTTTATAAAAAGTTAAATTATAATGCTGAACTCTTCGTTTTTTTTCAGAATTCGTCTATGAATTCCTGCTCAAATTGGCTGAACTGGCGGAAAACGATAAGGTACATCAAACATGTAAGACGGCATATGAAAATACATTGGCCAAACATCATCCATGGGTTGTACGAAAGGGGGCACTGGTCGCCATGTATGCATTACCCACTCAAGGAGAACTATTGAAACGTGTCTGCACTAACGTCCCACGCGCCATAGAAATACTGCCAGAAATGTTGAAAAATACCAAGATTGTATACGATCGTACCCATGCATTATACACCCTCTATGATTTGCATGCATTGCCTTAAATACTCATGTAGCCACATGGTGCTCCATATACAAAAAATCCTATTTTAAGCTAGTTTCAACTTGAATCTATACTGTTTTAATTAGTTAAATGATGTGCTGCTGCTATATTGTTTTAATTTATGTTTTTCGTAATTAAGCGCTGGTATTTCTTTTACATAAAAACATTCCTTTACCTTCAGAGAAAGTATGCCTTAAAATATATATATATGCCTAGTTTCCTATACTATAATATGCCTGTTTTTCATTTATTTTCCTAAAATCTTAATTTTACAAAAATCTCAAATTGAAAATATGCTTTTAAGAATATAACAAGTAAGTTATATGAGGGCTATACGAACACGTCGACCTGCACAGACATTTTTGTCATAGGCTGCAGTATCCACTACTTAATTTGAGATTTTATAATGTCGCTTAAATCATCAAAATACTGAATATCGGGAGGTATTGTTATATGGGGGCTATACGAAGGCGTGGACCTGCACAAACAATCTCCTGTCATAGGCTGTAGCATCCATTACGAACATCAAATACCGAAATTTGAAAGAATTCCGATGAATATTGTCGCTAAGGTCGCTAAAAATACTCTGCTCATACTTATAGGGTACTTGGTGACTAAGTCTAACTATTTAGTATAAAACTGTATATTTTAAGGAAATATGGAATATATTTTCCACATTTTTTAATATTTTTTTGCAACAATCAGACCTTTGGGGTAACATGCAATTTAGATTTTTTTGTCAATTTATATTCGGCTTAAAACTCTTATTTTTTTTAATTTCTCCAGTAGGTATTTTTACCCTGATCCCGGGAATCTTTATTTTTCCTGGGGGACGGACCCGGGACCACAGATTTTTGATACGCAAGTCTGGGTTCAGGACCCAGGCTAGACGGATCCACTTATCCGATATAGGCAATATAGGGATCGAAATTTTTAAGCGGTTCGGAAGTTTTAGTCAAATTATCAATTTTAGGAACCGGTTTTTTAAAAAACTCCCAAAAAGTCAAAATAGGGCCCATTAAGGGGGTCAACCAAATTTATGCCAAATTATTGTTGACACTCTTACCTATCCAAAATGCTATAAATGTGCTAATACCCTTCCTAATTTTTAATGAACTGTGGAAAGACCTGGTAGTATTTTGGGAAGGCCATAATTTGGCATCAATTTCATTGACCCCCATAATGGACCCTTTTTACTTTTTGGAGTTTTTATAAAGAATCAGGGTCTAAAAAATCCATAATTTGACTATAACTTCCGAACCGCTTATAAAAAAAACCCATCACTTGTTGAAAAGGTATTTTCATAAGCTTTCAAAAATCTGTAGTCCCGGGTCCGTCCCCAAAGAAAAAAAAGTTTCCCAGAATCAGGGTAAAAATATCTACCTCTGGAAAAAATTTCGAAAAAAAAAAACTAAACTAGAGTTATTCCGAAAGCCCAATAGAATCAATGTCGGCACGCAAAGGTTGTACATCTTTTTATTGTAACATATGATCTTAACCTTAAGTAATTCAACCGGAAAAATCTCATTGCTGTGGAAATATTTCCAAATCTCTTAACTAACTAACCTTCAAAAAATGGACAGAGCATACCCCCATTTCTTACATTCTCAAGTTTTTTAAAAGTGTCTCGAAATTATTATAACGCTCATTTAAAGAATATAATTGGTCAACTCAAATAGCACTCACCTGTTCCGTGTAGTTGAATCCGAGCAAGTAAGTATGCCAGCAAATAGGATTTTGTTCAAACCTTATTGAATACATGAATTTCCGGCTTCCGACTACCATACGAGGCTCTCCGGGTAAACAATATTTTTTCTTATTTTAAATAGTTCCAATTCCAATTTTTTTTGCGTATATTTGGTAATTTTGCGTATATTAGATATTGTGGATATTTGGTATTGATTTAATGTCTCTGTCTCTGAACACGAAATGTCATTTATGATACCCTACACCACTTTGCTAATTTAGTAGAGCTTAACAATTAAAAGTTTTTATGGGAGAGTTCAATCATACACGCTATGATTATAATTATAATTTAAAATTCAAATTATCTTTTAAATTCGGACTTGTTCATTGCCCATTTGCGATATATATGGGAGCTATATTCAAATCGGAACCGATCTCGATAAAATTTGGTAAAGAAATTTCTGAGCTGTATTTGAACATTTCCCTGAATATCGTTGCTACGGAGTGCATAATACGGCTGTGGGTAACAAACAAATATAACAAATCGGATGAACAATATATATGGGAGCTAAAGCTATATCTGAATCGATCTTCACCAAATTTGACGTACTTGTTTCTAGGAGTAATTTAGTCGGAATCGGTTGAAGATATATATGAGAACTACAACTAAATTTGAACCGATTTATATGGGGGACCTGAATCGAAGATTTGCAAGATTTGGTTTTTTGGACTTGGTTAAACTACATTTCAAAGCTCTTAACTAAATAAGGTGGACTTTATCGTGATTTCCACAGACAGATAGACAGACAGACGATCATCGCTATCGTACAATAACTTTTTTTTGATCAGGAATATATATATGAGCTAATATTACACGTTTGATGCACAATAAAAGGCAAATCGGACGAGGATATATATGAGACCTATATCTAAATTTTGACCGATTATCTCCAATTTCAATAGGGTTCGTCATTGGGCTAAACTAAACAAACTTGTGCAAAATTTCATATGGATCGGGCAATAAATTCGAACTGTACTTTGTTCACAAAAATATATGGACAGACGGACGGACGGACATACATACATCGACTCAGAATGTGCGTGATTCTATGCAGATCATCAAAAAGAATTATGGTTCTTCTCGTTTGTTCCTTTTGCCAGTTACCCTTCTCCTTCACAAATTTCCAATTTCCGATATTTGAATTCAAATGTGCGTGCTGATGGTATTGCGTATTCTTGTATCCAATGTATTGCTCTGGAAAAGAACCTGCACATCAGGTTCTGTCCCGGTCCCGGGACTCGTCGTTTGGGGCGTTTGGAGTCAATATCCGTGCCCGGGAATCCGTCCTCCAAGAAAAAATACTTTCCTGGAATCAGGGTACAAATAAATACAGCTGGAAAAAATATTCTCGAGTTGTTGGAGACACATATATGACATATATGGCTTTTCTATATCCATGGACCATTAATTGGAGGTTATGTTGGCGGTCGGGTTTTGTTTATTGTTTTTTTTTAGCTTTTTAAATCACGCACAATCTCAAATCACACATATACACATTTGTTCTATTTGTTTCCAGATATTTATGATATTTATATATAATTTTTTATACTAAATACGATAAATAATTAAAAAATTAAATCAATTGAATGAATTACCAACCGACGCCACCGAGAAAGGAAAAAAAGTGAAGTAACGAACAAAGGACACTACAATGTGGCAACACTGAAAAGAAAGACAGCACAGAGAGAAAATCCCTTTTGACAGCACATACAAAAGTATTACGTCTTGCATACAAATATATGAGGATATGGCAATTAAGCTGCAAATATTCCTGTATGCATACTTGATTAATAAATGTAAACAATCACATAATATAAGGGCAAAATGTACCGAAATAATTAATAATTTATGTATGAGAAATCGTTTTCCATTATAAATTTCCTGCGCCCATGAAAAAATTTCACGGCGTAGAAAATGTACATGAAGTGACTAAATAACGCCGTTAGCCAGCATTCATCGACACCATACTCTAATAGAACCGGTAAGTGTGGAATTGGTGTGTAAAAAACAGGTATTTTTTGCATACTTGTGGAGTGAGTAGCGGTCAACAACAAACAAATAGTAATAAAAAAACTCTTCTTTTCTAACATTCTAGAAAAAGAGTCATAAATATATGTAAACAAACACACCCTCTCGCCGATCCATAGTACCCCAAGCCGCATTTCCCATCATGAGTAAATATACAGCCAAATATTTAGAGGAAAAACTTGCCAAAGAACTCGATGCCCAATATGTCCAGGCGGTTGATGAATCCGATGGCTGTGGTGGAAAATTCAGTGTTGTCATTGTATCCGACAAATTCAAAGGCCTAAAAATGTTGCAAAAACATCGAATGGTTAATTCCGTACTGGCAGAAGAATTGAAAGAAATCCATGCTTTTTCTCAAAAGTCATATACGCCAGAAGAGTGGGAGAAAGTGCAGCAAGAGAAACAATAAAAGCTAACCGCAAAGAGAGACAACGAGAGATGAGGTTCGAAAATTGTCAATGGTCGTCACAGAGAGTAAAGTTATATCGATATTGTTTGGCTCTGAACCAGTTGTTTATGAACAGACCAGACGTAACGAACCGTTGTTAAAGTAAGAAAAAATAAGACAAAATATAATAGAAATAAAGTGAAATAATAAAAAAAACGAGACTGCATCCGTAACAGGCAAAAAGTTGTGTAGTAGTTCATTGATTTCGTAGTTGACTGTGTGAGACGAGACGAACAAGAAGTGAAAGTGTTTTTGGAAGAAACAGCCAGCATACAGAGGAGGGGAACAACAAACGAGCATAAACTTTGTCAGTCGTTTTTAAGCTGAGCTTGGAAGTGTTGTAACATTTAAACCAAATTTACATACACGAAAAAAGCAAGCCAAGCTACGCATTCATCGTTATTTTGTTAGAAAAGATCAGTTTTTAAGATATCCAGTTGCTCATTTGAATTTTTTTCGCTTTGTTTGAAAGAGGAAGAAGCCCGGATTATCTCTTTGCTCTGTTGAAGTCATCGAGTTCACTGCTTTGTTTGGCTTGCTTACAGTTATATAATGTTGAATTTCCAAGTCAAATCACCTGGCAAGATCATTTTGCATGGCGAGCATGCAGTGGTTTACCACAAACCTGCTTTGGCAGCCGTAGTGGGTGTAGGAACGACACTTAAATTCCAGAATACAACGGAAGATAGCAGCAAAGTTTCGTTTAAATTGGAGGCACTAAATACAATCTTTGAAATCGACATTGCCAGCTTTAATGCTTTCTTAAAACGCTGCCGTTCCAAATTTTCTGAGTATAAATTGGACAATGCCGTTCAATTGCTGGAGGAAGTTCGTTTGGAATTGGCCAAACAGCAGGATGAAACAATTGATTTGGGTTCACCGAAGAAGCAACAGACACAAAAGGCTTTTATTTCAATTTATTATTTATTGGCTGGAGCCATATTGTCATCACCAGTTAAAGACTTGGAATTGCAACAGCCATTTACCATTACCATCGACACTGAGTTGAATATAGGAGCTGGCTTAGGCAGCTCAGCCTCATATGGTGCCGCTTTGGCATCTGCTTTTCTTGCCTATGCCCAACATTTTGATTTGACAAACTACAAGGATGAAGAAAATCAGCAGTTGATATCTCTATGGGCTTTTGAGTCGGAACGTGTCATGCACGGTACACCGTCGGGAATAGACAACACTGTCTGCACATACGGCGGCATGTTACGCTTTGTCAAGGGTCAAGGTTTCCAGCCAGTCAAAATTTTGCGACCACTTCATATTCTTTTGGTGGACAGCAAGGTGAAGAGGTCCACAGCAGATATCGTGGCAAAGGTCCGACATTTAGGCGAAACATTCCCCGAGGTCATCAATGCCATTTGGAATGCCTGTGAAGCCTTGGTCAATACAGCCATACCTTTGTATGAAAATTTCGGTACATGTCAAGATGACAGCGAAAAATTCGAAAAACTGGAACAGCTCTTTCAAATTAACAATGATCTCATGAAAGCCATTGGTGTAACACATCCAAAGCTGGAGCAAATATTTTCAATTGCCTTTAAGCGGGGATTCTTTAGTAAAATAACTGGAGCCGGTGCTGGTGGTTACGCCATTGTTCTTTTGCCCGAAAATTATGCCAGCAATGAAGTCTATTGGAAGTTGAAAGAAGAATTGGAAGGTGCCGGATTTGGAGTACATGCCACAACTGCCGGTGGAGAAGGTTTGCGCATGGAACCATTGTAATGCGCAAAATGAACCATTCGAAGAAAAAGGTGTTGGAGCCATCAAATAAATTATTTGTATATGCATGTTATTGCGTACTTAATGTTTGTATATTATTATTTTTTATTGAATTTTTTAACTTTTTTCACTATATTATAAAAGTTTAATAAAGTATTCCTTTTTTAAATATATTGTAAGTCTGTTGGGTGTTTCCTTCCATGTATAGGTATAAAGAAATCGAGGTTTTTGATTTCAGTGTCAGTAACTGCAGAAGAAGAACCCCATTATTGATGCTGACAGCCTAAAAATAGAAGAAATGAAATGTTCGCATGTTACCACATACCTATACAAAAATTTAAAAAATATGAGTAAATGTTATTCAATGGATGTAGGGCATATTTAGGTATGTATTATGGCAAAACCACTATATAGGTTTAATTACTGGTTATGAATATTACACAGAGAAAATATGTTGCAACAAGTTCAATGTGCTGGTGCAAATAATGATTAGGTGTTATTTAATGCCCGCAGAAATAATTGAACTAGTTTTAATAAGAGACTATTACAATTGAATTACTGTAGAAGTAAAGGTTTCCTCACGCCATTATTTTATGTATAATTATTTTGTTAAACATGAACCGTAAAGTAATAGACTACAGCATTTTATATATCAGTCGATCGTTTGATCTCTCATAACTCGACAGATATGATAATAAGTAATGTATTAATTTCACAATTATAAGATTTCGTTATTGAAATTCTAAGAGAATTCCTTAAATTTAATTAGCGACCAAGACAATATGCCACCAATATGAATGCATAATGCTTTTTATGATGTAAGGTGTTGTCGGCAAGGGGTCTTTAACTTCCACACAAACCTTTGAACTTTTATGGAGTATGGACATAATTTCATTGCATGTTATTTCTACATCATAGAAAATCATTAACGCTTTCAAAAGTTAATTGGGAATCCATTATATATTTACACTTACGTGAGGATTTTCACACTTTCCGATCTTATTCTAACGCTGGCTTGTATCTCTGGGTCTATAGGGGATGCCTCGACTTTTCATTTCTCTCAGTGTTGCTTGTGGCAAGGTTCCCGAGACAGATATTGCATAGATTCCCCTAGTGAAACGACCTAAAGGAGAGAAAACAAATTACTATTTGATCTTTAGGTTAAATTTTGCTATTGGGAAGATATAGCAACCAAGTTGCACCACAACAGAGTAAATCACTGGATTCTTTGATATTTTCCACACCTACTCACCTATCCTCTGCCACTTGGCCACCCAAGAATCTTCGGGACTCATTAAAGCAATAAGTCCATCAAAATTGTTGCTGGTATGGTCGTAAACATTGTCCTTGTTATTCTTCATGCGCAAAAACTCATCGCAATTGTCGCAGCCATCATACTCGAATTGGTCGAAAGTCTGAAAAGAAACATCGTTTAATGCCACGAATTCTGTTCATCCATCAAGAAACTTACCTTGATAAGGGAGCACACCAAGCATGCACGCAATCCTCGCAGATCTTTGGGAATTGTGTCGAAAGACATTTTTGCTATAGTATAAATTAGTTTTTGATATATTTCAAGAAAAACACGCAAAGCTAACGAATTGTCCAGAATAACAGTAAACAATAGAGCTGGCAAACTATCGATGGTACTATCGATAGTTTGGTTTTCACTAGACTATCAATGGTTTTTTTTTGATAGCGATACTATCGTTGAAAAAACCGATTGCGGTATTTATTTATTTATTTATTAATTATACATTATTAAAATTATAAAGTTTATTCTTGTAGTCTTTTGAGGCCGAATTATACAAGAACTCATAATTCTTTACGTTCTCTATTATAAATTCACTTATGTCCATCTTCTCTATTATAAATTCACTGATATCCATCTTCACTCAGGCGCAAGTACACAAATAAATAAACAAATTAATTATGTTTTTTTATACGAGTAACAGATAGTAGAGTGACCATAACAAATTTTAAAGTAAAAAGTAACTTTATTTACTAAAACACATAAAATTCGTACAAGTATAGCCACTTTGTACTGTTTTGTGCGCGGTTCGCCGGCGTATGATATAGAAATAAAGCTAATTGAGTTCGCGGCGTCCGACAAAATTTTCGCCGGCGCCGTGATTGTGTGCATTTCCATATACACATATGTTTTTTATTTTTGACGACGAACATACGCCGCGAAAAATTCGTCGTTCGCTCCAATTGTGTTCCTAGCTAAATGGCGCTTGGTGTTTCCTGTTATCAGCTGTTGCTTGCTTCGGCCTTTTTCATATCTAGTGTACCCTAACTCAAAAAAAAAAAATAAACATTCCCCACATTCCCGCTGTCCCCGCTGTTTTCGTTTTCATCGAAACATAGAATTATTGAAAGTAATTTTATTACTTTTTTTCACTCGAAAGAATGTTTACATTGCGTCCATTGGCGCCAGTTTTACAACGGACCTTTAACTCTCTTCGCTTTTATGCACACCCAACGAAAAAAGCTTCCTCCAAAACTAAAACTGCTGCAGCGATGAAGTTTGTCCATGAGGAAACATTGCGATATTTGAGCCCGTCATGTAATGTCAAAGTTATTTCGGATATTTTCATAAAAGTTCGATCTGCCGATGTCCACGAATATCCAAGTGGCGATGTTTTTATTGCCCAATTACATGGTGGTCCCGCCAAAAATTGTCCGGCAACAATGAATGTCACGGTCAGCGATGATGAGAATAGTGTTGAGGTTCTTGTAAAGCGACTCAAGGAGGATACTGGTGATTTTCATTGTGAGTTAGAGGTACCAGTAAAGGCCAGTGTAGAAGTTACATCGAATAGTGGAGCAAATATTTCCAAAATATTTGGAGATTTCCTTAAATTAAAAGCAGAAAATTATATAACTGTATCGGATGTAAAAGCTGAAGATATAAGCGTTGAGAGTATTAATGGAAATGTGTTTAGTCGTGGCCTCTTACTTGGCAAGAGAACAAAGATTGTGACGAACAATAAAGGCGTAAGTTAGTCTATGGTATTCTTATATTCTTATAGTACTGTATGTTGGAATAATCCTATTTCCTAAGGATTGGTCTGAGACCTTAGTCATCCCGGCAAAATTAAACCACTTTTTGTTTAATTATTTTATGTTTTTTTTTCTAAAATAATCATTGCATCGCTGTTCTTTTCCTTTACAAAAATACATCTAGCACATTATTTTAGATAAGCTACAAGGAGATGAAATAGTTTGCAAGACCGATCAGGGTAACATAACTACAAATTGCTGTTATGTAGAATCATCAGTATTTGAAACTAATTCGGGCGATTTGGACCTAAAAAATATGCATAAAACTAGTAAGATAAATGTCCAGCATCCCGATGGGAATCTCAAAATGAGTAAGAATGGCCTTTAAATAATATGGAAATTTTTAAATTTCAATTTTTATTTCAGCTGGCGTCCATGGCAACATAAATGTCAACTTCAATGGCAATTCAATGGAATTGCAATTATCCGAATTAAATGGAGAGAATTCTATCAAATCTGACCATGCCGAATCAATTGTAATAAATATTTCCGATGAAATTGAAAAGAATACTTCGATTGTGGCAAACTTACGAAAGAACGATACAAGCATTACTCTTGACCCATCTCTGCAGCATTTGAATGGTGGTTTGTTGGAAGACAAGCATAGCTTTAAATGGCCCACAGATAAGGAACTTTCGTGTAAATTACAAATAGATGTTAATAATTCATTGAAATTGGGTAAATCATCCTGGGCGGATATGTTGCGTTTGAAAATGAAACAAAACCAGAAGAACAATAACAAAAATGACAAGCTTTAAATTTAGTACTTAAACGATTTTAATGTAGAATTAATAGAATTAATGTTAAGTTTTCTTAAAAAAGTTATTTGTTTTTTTTTTTTTTTGTTTCTGAGATAATAAATTAATTTGACTTTGCTTCAATATTGGTTTAGTATCGTCACCATTTTTCTATTAAACCCATTTATTAAAAAACATGTTTTACTTATTCCAAAATTTGTTTTATTTTACAAATTAATCATTAATTTTAAAATCTGCTTTAATTTTGGCTACCAAACACTCCACAGTCAGTTATTTAACAATTTTTTTCTAAAAGATCACCCGTTTTGAAATTTCATTTAATTTTGACTACAAAACATTATAATTTCTTTCTTACAAAAAAAAACTTGATTTTAGAATATATATATATGTATAAAAATCTACACTACGGCACTATTGTTGCATTATACTTTGAGAATATCTTTTAATTTGTTGTAACACGCTTTTAATGATTCATTTTCTATTGGTTGTGTAAATGTATCGAAAAGTTGCATTGCATACTTTCGGGGGCATATGGTAAAGCACTGTCTTAATGTTTGATCATCAGTTTTGAGTATTATAAATAATATTGTACTCAATACTGTACTGAGCAATAATTCAAAATTTGCATCGTTATCATCGTCGGAAGACTCTTCAAAATCATTTGTTTTTGTTGGCTTTTTGAGACGTTCCTCCAAACTCATGGATATGTTGTAATGTAACTTTAGTAATTTTTGTGCAATCTCCAGATCGAATGGACTACTGAGCACCTGAAAAGATTGGGGAAAATATTTATATCTCAGAATGGTACGATACAAAATATTACGCATATTAGATATGTTATACACCATCCATTGATTTTAAACCTCCCTTCTTTAAATTTTATGTGTTTTATAACATCTTATAAGCTCTTTCACTTACCCTCAGTATATCATTGATGCTATCCAATACAATTGTCTCGTATTGTTGCCATGAATTCGGTTCATCCTCCACAGTCTTAAGAATCTCCTTAAGGCATAAAAGCATTTCATCATTGAATGGGGCATATGACTCCTTGCTTATCTCCTCGTATTGACTTAGAATACTATGTATATTACAAAATGTTTGATTTCCCTTGATAACACTCTCCGCCACCGTGTCGTAATTATCCAAATTTTTGGTAGAATCTTTGTGTAACGATTGCAGTCCTTCGATGGTGGCACCCACAAGGGTGGTATCAACAAATACTTTCTCAAAAGTAGGCACTTTGACATCCTTATTTTCCTCCAGTACAGCAAATTTTGCCAAAATGGCATTTAATGTTTCCATTGTCTGCAGGACCAGTGTATTATTGGCTGCGCTTGCCAATATAAAGCAGATGTTTTTTACAAACTGATCCGACTTCAAGAGATAGTCATACCATTTGTTAACGCTGCTCTCTTCCATTTTGACAAATACCACGGCAAAAAGACGCATTAGCTGTTCCAGTGTAAGGGAGTCTAAGCATGAGCTTAAATCCAGCAGCACCTGAACCGTTTCCTCTTGTTGTTCCAATTGCTGTCGAGTCTCGCCAACATTACACATATTTGCCAGTATGCCAACAAGAATTTCCGAAAGGCGTTTATCTTCTGTGGCCCTTATTATGCCAGCAAATATTTCCAAAACATCTTGTTGCAACAGAAACAGCACAACATCCTTTTCTATTGTCATATCCCAAAGGGAACAAAGATCGCGTTCCACTTCCACTTCATTTTGCAGATCTTTCTTTACCTCTGCTAGTTTTAGCAGTGTGTTCAATACAAAACGTTCACTGTAAAGGGTATCCCCAATAGCATCACCCTTTGAAGTAAAAGTGCATTAACAAATCTGTCAAGTACTTCCACTTATGTCCCTTACCTTTAAAAGCTTGATGTCTGGATCTTCGGCGTCGGCATCCGGCAAAGTTGGATTGCAAGAGGCACCTTCTTCCTCGTTAAGAGTTTTAGTATTTTCTTCAGTTTTCGCATTGGAATCAGTGGATTTTTCTTCCTTTGTCTGGGCTGCCGGTGAAGACATCTCTTTCCGTCAAGCTGTTCCAAAACAAAAGTTGAAAAGTTGTTTTTGTATACAGACGCTCAGATGTGTTATCAATTTATGGTGAATAGCCAGCCGGTTTATTATTTTATTGTGATTTCCCAAATAAGAAACCATCGCCGTCAAAAATGTCGCAACTGGCGCAAACAAACGCTTAAAAATTAAAAAAAAAAACTGTTAAAAGTTGAGTTTAAGCGGGTAAAAGTTGTTTTCATTTGTGCTTGGACTGCTTTCGAAAGGTGCCTGAAATTCCTATTGATGGCCAACAGGATGGTGCTACTGCACAGTCATGAAATTGACTCAAACTAATCTGAAGGAAAACTCAACGCAAAATTGGAGGGATTTTCGAAATGAGGTTAGGTATTGCTGAGTTTCTAAAATGATTGTTTATAAATAAATTTTCGATATATGTAGGCTTCTGCAGGGTCTGCCTTTTTGTACCTCGATATTTTAAGCCGTTTGAAGCCCCAATACTATAACTTTCTCATTTTCTCCTATGTTGCAATGAAGTCTGAAAATACAGAAAGCGGTTTTTTGGTGCGGGAGATATGAACCACGAAGCTTGATACCGATGTAAATTCATGGTCCTGTTCGCAACATTGGCACAATATAGGGTAAAAATTTGCCTATTGCATTCCGTGGAGCCTCCCAAAAGATGTAGATTATCACCAGTGTGAGGTTTAGCACCACTTTTAGAGCTTCTTCAAGAGAACTTTATGAAGCTCGCTTGAAAGTTGACAGTGTTTGCTGCATTATTTTATTTTTGTGAAATTCGGGTTTCTTTCTACCCTTGTATTTTAAAGCACGTCATCATGAAAGAATTGGTCAGCCAGACTGCGGGATGTAAAAAGATCTTGCGCATCGCATCCGGGGTAAGTCCGTAACTCAAACGTATTTATGTAAGCTCAATTTCCTTTAGGGAAACTTCTTCGTATTATCTCACATTTTTACTACATTTAGTCAATTTCATTCTAAATATAAAGGCATATAAAGGGAGTTGAACGAGACAAATATTAATATTTTACGTCCGCTCTCACCTCCCAAAAGAAATTTTCTTTGTATGCTAAACAAGAAGTTCCGGATCTATGCCGAAATTTAGAAGAGCAAATCAAAAAATGACGGGGACAAAAAATATGTTCAATATATAATTATTTTTTGTTGTATAAAATTAATTAAAAAAATCTTTTTGTTATAAAAAGTTAACCTTGATTGCCTCCTGTGAGGATTGAACTCACGACCCCTGGTTTACAAGACCAGTGCTCTGCCACTGAGCTAAAGAGGCTGGTGTTGGGCGCGTTGACAAAGCCAATTACAAAACCAACCATTCACATATCGACATGTGGGCCATTCAGGCAAACACTGTTCGAATTTACCCTTATCGGCAAAGTGTACAAGAAACTGTTATAAACAATGCTACCAATATCTGTTGAAGGGGTAAATGGCTGTTGGAAATCTGTTAAATATTTAAAATTTAATTTGTGTTATAATAAGCGTAGAAATTATTGATTAGCTGATATGCGGAATTTTAAAATGACTTTATCGTGATTTTCCAGAAGAGAAGCAATTGCTGTTAAAAAGTCAGATGAGTTGGAAAATAGGATGAAAATGGCTTAATAACCCTCAATATGTGTTACCATTTAATAAATTTGATTGTTGTAACGGTGAAATGTATGCTCTGTTGTTTAAAGGCTGTTGAACCGGATTAACAGGTTTAGGAATTTTGCTACCTTTATGGGCTGTAGCCAGAGATCCTCTGGACGAAGTTAGGTATACTTGGCTGGTCAATGGAATAGATTTGGTAGTAAATACTTGTTGAGAGATATGGCAAAAACATAAAAATGTAAATCGATTTTGTATCCGTTTCCATTTGGAAATATACCCTAAAATTCACTTTCGAAATATTCTTAACATTTGCAATGTTTATTATTTTTGTTAAAACAAAGTAAATTTTAGAATTACATTCATATGTGTAAATATATATTTGTATATCTGTGCATGATCGTTTAAATAGTATAACATCTTGATCCCGTTGTATGGTTTTGAAAAATTTGTACTTCTGCTTATTTAGCTCCACGATTCTCGGCCAATTTTTCCTTGAAAATTCTCTTCAATTCTTCGGCACCCTCCTCGTTTGTATCCTTATAATACGGTAATTCGGCCATACGTTTCAGCCAGGCCAACACTTTGGGGAATTTAAATTCATCAATGGGTGCCACATCATTGACCGATGTAATGGTGGCGACACAACAAAAATCGGCAATAGTTAACTCATCACCGCACACATATGGATGATCCTTGAGAAATCCCTCCATAATTTCCCAACATTTTTGAATGTAGGCAATTTTATCAATTGAACAATCTGTCGAACCATAATACAAAATCGGTTCGTAGAGGAAACGTAGACGGGCAAACAAGTGACCGGAATCGAAATGAAGGCGGGCATCAACCTGGGCACGCTGTAGCAAATCTTTGGGATACAGCTTGTCATCTTTGCCATATTTCTCTACCAAATATGCACAGATGGCATGTGAATCGTAAATAATGGCCTCGCCATCGACCAATGTGGGAATGGTGTGTTGGGGATTCATTTTCACGAACTCCGGTGTCAAGTGTTCACCTTTGAGTAAATTGATGGGTCTGTAAATGAAAATAATTAAGTCATGTTTTTAATCTATGCATATAAAAAGGGAATGTGCTTACTTGTATTCCAATTCCAAACCAATAGCCTTGGCAGTTAACATAACTGCTCGCGAGGGTGGGCTCAATGTGGCCATGTATAGAACGGGTTTTGCCATTTTGATTCTGTAATGAAAAGGAAAGGATTTGGTTACTGATTTTAAAGAATATCTTTTTTACTTTTCATTATAGATTTTTTTCGAAAAAAGGAAAATTGCCTTGTTTGGATTACCATTGAGACATATGGATAACTAATGACACATTATCAAGGAGGTTAATGAAATTTGATCTGCAGATATGGCAGTGACTACTTATGGCTGCCTTGGCAACCAAGCAAGATTCACTATTACTTCCACATGGGATTTACTGGTGTCATAAAAGGGCACTTTGTCCCCTAAGAAAAGGTACATTTTATGATTTTGTTTTTCATATTGTTTTTGTATTTTAAAGTAAATTATTACTGTATTCTAGATTCGAGGAGTCGTAGCTATGAACAACTGGAATAATTTATTCAACAACAAGTGACGCTGGCGTTTTGGATACTTTTTAAGTGAAACTAACTAAAGGGGACAGTGATAAATGTTATGATTTTTTTTTTTGGAACTTGGTAACTCGTCGTGTTAGAAGTATACTCCCCTTACAAGCAGTAAGTGCCGTTGTAAAATATTTGAAGGAAACAGTGAGTAATAACATTTCAGTTCATCTGTCTTTTATAATTTCGACAACACAAAAACGAAATACGATTGCCCTCTGTTAAAGTATCGCCTAATAATTAAATTCAAGCAAATGGTACTCCAGAAATAACTTGGTTATTACTCGTTTTTTCGCGATTTTCAAAAGCCACTTGTAATTATACCCTCACCCATATGGCTAGAGAGGGTTATATTATTTGATACGGCTAAAACGTGCCTCATCGAAAAAACGGGTTTATACCCTGGGTCTCTTTGCATCCGATTCAGGGCATTTAAAGTGGATTAAGCGATGTTCGTCCGACTGTCTGGCTGGATGGTGCGCACGATAACTCTCGAAGAGTATCCGATTTGGTGCAAACTTGGTACATCGTAATATTATTTTCAAACTAAGATCGAGCTCGGAGATGGGCAAAATCAGTCCACTCCTTCTGGTACCTCCCCCATTAAAGATAGAAATTCTCCAAAAAAAAAGTTTGCTGCACAGAAAGAGAATGGATTATCCGATTTTCCTCCAACTTTGCATATCCTAATATTTGCATCAGTGCTAGGTCAGGTGCGAAAATGGACAATATCGGTGCACTCCATCAAGTAACTCCCCCACAAAGGGTCAAAATTTTGAATAATTATAACTTTAATAAAATGTGATGTAAGAGTCCGATTGGCTTCAAATTACACACATTACAATATTTTTATTAACCCAAGGTCTGGTGTAAAGATGGAGTATATCGGTCCACTCCTTCTGGTACCTCCCCACAAAGAGTCAAAATTTGGATATAAAACGCGAAATTAACATCCGATTCCATTTAGGCTTAGTTACATCTCAATATTTCCATCAACGCAAGATCTGTTATAAAGATGGTAAAGATCGGACCATTCCATCTGGTACCTCCCCCACAAAGGATAAAAGCTTTAAATAACCAAAACGATTAAAAAATTCGAAATAAGCTTCCGATTCTCTTCGTATTTTACACATCCCATTATTTATACTAACTCAAGATCTGCTGCGAAAACGGGATATATCGGTCAATTCCTTCAGGTACCTCCCCCACAAAGGTCCAACATTTTGAATATCCATGAAGCTCATAAAACACGAAATTAACATCCGCATTCATATAGACCTGGCGCATCTCAATATTTTAATCAACACGAGATCTGTTATAAAGATGGTAGAGATCGGACCATTCCATCTGGTACCTCGCCCACAAAGAATAAAAGCTTTAAATAACCAAAACGATTATAAAATCCGAAATAAGCATCCGATTCTCTTCATATGTCACACATCCCATTTTTTATACTAACTCAAGATCTGATGTGAAGATGGAATATATCGGTCAACTGCTTCTGGTACCTCCCCCACAAGGGGTCAACATTTTGAATATCCATTAAGCTCAAAAAACGCAGAAATAACATTCGATTCTATTCAGGCCTAGTAAATTTCAATATTTCCATCAAACGAAGATATTTTATAAAGATGATAGAGATCGGACCATTTCTTCTGGTATCTCCCCCACATAGGGTTCAAGACTTTGAGAAACAATACGCCCAAAGAAAACGAAATAAGCTTCGAACTCTCTTCAAATTTCGCACATACAAACATTTTCGCTAACTCAAGATCTGTTGCGAAGATGATACATAGCTGCGAACCCCTACTGGTACCTCACCCACAAAGGATCACAATTTTACTTCACAATTTTTTATAACATTTTGTAAAAATTATCACATTTTTCACATAAAGTGAAGGAAATAACCAATATAGTCCAAACCCGGCACGTCGCAATATTTATATCATATTTATTTAGATCCGATACGAAATGAACAATATCGGTCCATTCCTTCGGAACCTACTCAAACAATTTGAATAATCACAAGAAAAGTCAAAATATATTTAAACAATCGAACATTTGCTGAGGGTATACATTTGTCAGCAAAACCGGCTGATACTTTTTTACTTGTTTTCATTATTATTTTGTTTAGAGGTAATAGCTTTCCTGTTCCAGAACATTGTCATGTTATCTGCATGACATTTGAAGTAGCTGATATTACTTCTGTACGACATATGAACATATGTATATATGTGAACATGTGTTATTGGTAGATAACAAATTATCAAGCTCTTCAAAGGTGACTATGGAATTCTTCCAGGGGAGGTAAAGATTTTGCTTTTTACCTGGGCTAAGATAAGCCTATTTTTTTGGAATTTATTTCAATGTTTATTTTGAAAATGTGTCAAACTTGATAATTGTTTAAAAATTCTCTCACCCTGATTCAAATATAATTATGTTCATCAGTTTATTTTATCTCATGCAATGATAAGATTTCCAAGAGGTTATCTATGGCAGAGAACATTGGTTAAAGATTATTTAATTATCAGAGGTTATTAGCTAGCTGTGCCCTCCATGCCCATATACTTATAAATGCAGGTATCTGGTGTACACAATCTTATCACTTTCTAAATTATGAAATTATTTTATTTTCTGTTTGCCATAATTGCCTTTGTTCTCCTCCATTTAAAGGTGGTCAGCGGTTTTGTTGTCATTGCAGTAGGAAATTTTACAGCGTTTTTTTCACAAGTTCCTATAAATAAGTGCAAACAATAGGAAATTCAAAATAAAAAAAAAAATTGCAAACAAATTATTAATGCAGTTTAGAACTTTCATTCGCGAACTGGCAAAGTGTCTGTTAGAAAGTAAAGCATTTCGTTTCCATTCCAAACTTGACATATGACCCTCCCTAGCATGACAAGCTTGTTATCACCCCTACGCGAAAACCACAAGTGCAATATATTACATGGCAATTCAGCCACCACTGAGTATCATGTTCATAATTCCTATATAGCTTATAACGGATTTGTTTTCAACAATTTTTCGAGTTTATGAATGAATAAAATACACATTATTATTGGAGGAGATGTTAGGGGATTTTCAAAACTTTATTCCTGCCCTGAATCAATTGTTTTCTGTTTTTATGGAATCCTTTAAACTTAAAGGTTTTAGAGCCTTAAAGAGATTTATATTGAAAATGTTGCCTTTATGGTATGGATTGAATAGATGACATAATTCTTTCAGGGTGCACAAAATGACCAGTTAGTTTTTCTTGTTCTTCTTAGTATATTCACGCATATAGTAGATTGTGTCAGTCATTTGTTGTCATTAGCAATAGTTGATGTTGTTGTCGTTTCACATACATATATCATTATATGTCCGATAATTCATTAATGATAGCAACTCGCATATGCTGTAAATGTGTTTGTAAATGAGTTTCAACAAAAATTACTACACTCAGGCCTGTTTTTATACCCTACACCACATAGTGGTAAGGGTATTATGTCTTTGTGCATTTTTTTGTAGCATGGAGAAGGAAGCGAGATAGACCCATAATTACTTTTGAAGATTTTCATAGAATCACTTTCTGAGTCCATTTATGAATGTAAGTCCATGTATTCTTGTGAACAAAATGCAGGTCACATTTATTTTCCGATTGAGCTGAAATTTTCGAAATAATATTTGTTTGGCCCAACGACAAACCCTCTTCGTGATAATCGGATCATATAGCTCCCAAAAACCTTCAACTGATTTCGGGTTAGTTGTGCACCAAATGGCCAATATAAGTTCAAAAGACCTGCATTTTTGTACATCCCACTGAATTCAGTCTAGAAGCAAGTACATTAGATTTGGAGAAAATCTGTGCAGATATAGCTATAGCTCCCATATATATGTTCCATCCGATTTGGGGTTTTAAGTCCCTCACATGCGTAATATGCACTCCACTAGAAAGATATTTGTAACCGCACATCAGACACTGCTCGAAAATACCTCTGTCAAATTTTATCGAGATCGGTTCAGATTAGGATATATAGCTTCCATATATAACTTTATCCGACATCAGGTTTATTGTGCACCAAATGGCTAATATCAGCCCAAATGGACTGAATTTTGGCATATACAACTGAATTCATCTTAGAAACCTGTACTTCAAATTTGGTGTAAATTGCTTCAGATATAGCTATAGCTCCCATATATATGTTTCATCCGATTTTGGGTTAAAAGTCCCTCACAAACGTAATATGCATTCCACAACAATGATCTTTGGCGCCAGATATCAGATACAGATCGGAAATAAGTATATCAAATGTTTTCAAGATCGGTTCAGATTTGGATATAGCTTCCATATATACATATCTTCAACCGATATCGGGTTAATTGTGCATTATATTACCAAAATAAGTCCAAATGACCTGAATTTTGGCATATCCGACCGAATTCAGTCTAGAAGCAAGTACATCAAATTTGGAGAAAATCGAATGAGATATAGCTATAGCTCACATATGTATGTTTCATCCGATTTGGTGTTTAAGTCCCACACATTCGTAATATGCATTCGACAACAATGATATTTGGATATCAGATACAGCCTAGAAATACCTTTTACAAATTTTATCGATAACGGCTAAGATTTGCATATAGCTCCCATATATATCCTTAATCCGATTTTAGGTTTATTGTTCAAGTAATGGCTAATATCAGCCCAAATGAAGTGAATTTCGGGACGTACGTTTCCATTTTGTGGAATCCATCTTTGCTATATATATATTTTTATACCCTCCACCATACTATGGAGGGCATATTAATTTTGTCATTCCGTTTGTAACTCCTCGAAATACTCATCTCAGACCCAATAAAGTATATATATTCTTGATCAGCGTAAAATTCTAAGACGATTTAGCCATGTCCGTCTGTCTGCCTGTCTGTTGTAATCACGCTATCTTTCGAACAAATTGAGATAGAAGGCTAAATTTTTGCAGACGTGTATATTTTGCCAGTAGGCAGGTTAAGTTCGTAATTGGGCCATGTAGGTCAAAGTTATCATATAGCCCCCATATAACGGTACCCCCCGATATTGGGGTAAATAGCGACATTATTTACCGGGATTGTTTCAAATTTCGCATGTGAAGTTCGTAAGTGATACTTCAGCCTATGCCAGAAAATTGTCTGTGCAGGTCCACGTCTTCGTATAGCCCTTATATAAAGGTACCCCCTATATTCGGTATTTTGATGATTTTAGCTTCATTGTAAACAGATTTTTCTTCAAGTTTCGCATTTAAATATTGTGATAACTTACGACAAAAGTTGCCTATGCAGGTCCATGTCGTCGTATATGTATTCGGTATTTTTAATATTTTAACAGAATTTTTAACAAATTTTATTTTATTTTTTTTTGTTTCTAATAATCCTTCTCGAAGTGATTTCATGCACTCTATAGCAATGTTATTTGGTATGAAAGGTTAATATGTCTCCCTCAAATTTAGTGAAAATCGATTCAGAATTGGATATGCCTCCCATATATTAGTTCTAATTTTAAGAAATTTTTCATTTAAAATTTTGTTCCGGCGGTCATAACTGGTTATCCGGTTTCTTGAACCGAAGGTTAGGGAAACCCCAAAATATCACCGGTTTTTAGAAACGATATGAGTATCAAATGAAATTTTTATACCCTCCACCTTGGAAAGGAGGGTATATTAACTTTGTCATTCCGTTTGTAACATCCTTAAATATTCGTCTTAGACCCCATAAAGTATATATATATTCATAATCAGCATAAAATTCTAAGTCGATTTAACGTCCGTCTGTCTGTCCGTCTGTCTGTCTGTCCGTCTGTCTGTTGAAATCACGATACAGCCCACATTATTTGACGTAGAGCGCCAAAATTTAGCAGATCTATTTGCATTGTGTCTAGGATGGTTGGTATTGAAAATGAGATATATCGGTCCACGTTCTAGTATAGTCCCCATATAACAGTACCTCCCGATATTCGGTATTTTGATGATTTATGCCACATTTTTTCACGGATTTGTCTGGAAATTGGTATTTGTAGGTCATAACGGGTCCCTGAGCGTGTGGCAAAACATTGCATGTATAGGTCCACGTTGTGGTATAGCCCCCATATAAAGGTACCTCCCGATATTCGGTATTTTGATGGTTTTTGCCACATTTTTTCACTGATTTGTCTAAAAATTGGTATTTGTTGTTCATAATGGGTCCTAGTTCGTGTGGCGAATCATTGTAATTATAGGTCCACGTTTTGGTATAGCCCCCATATAACGGTACCTCCCTATATTCGGTAATTTAATGATTTTTGCCACATTTTTTCACTGATTTGTCTAAAAATTGGTATTTGTTGGTCATAATGGGTTCCAGCTTCGGTGGCGGAACATTGCATGCATGGGTCCATGATTTGATATAGCCCCCATATAACGGTACCTCCCGATATTCGGTATTTTGATGGTTTTTGCCACATTTTTTCACTGATTTGTCTAAAAATTGGTATTTGTGGGTCTGTTCTAAAAAGAATTTAAGACTAGGCATAAATAAATTCCGGCTTAGCGGCCGAACTTTTTCTTAAACTAAAAATTTTCCTTAGTTACCGGCCTTTAAGACTTCCTCCCATAAACAAGAGCATATTTCGGGAACATCGACAAAATATTCTTAAAAATTTGTAAGTATGTGGGAATAACTGGTGGGAATGTATGCCAAATATGTAGTAAACTATTTTCTGTTCTAACTAACAAACCGGTTTTGCTATCAATTAAGCTTCCATTTGATACTCATATCATTTTATTTGATTGAAAATCGTGTTGTAAAAATCCGGTTATATTTCGTTTTTTTTAACCCGAACTTTCGGTTAAAGAAAAACGGATAGCCGGTTACGATCGCCTGTTAAACTTTACGTATTTTTTAGCAGGAGGCCAAAATCTATCTATGGTATAGATTTCAGGCCGATCAGAGTGTTAAAGCCATAATAGGATTAAGCCTTAACTCCATGCGGTGTTAGCAAATATCAATGGAATTTTCCATAAAGCAATTCGGCGTTTTAAAGCAGTTCCCGCAGGCCTAAGTGTTATTTTGTGATTAGAAAGAATGCGAAATATAACAGACACAAATACATGCATGCATATAAATCTCTAGTTTGCGCTGAGTAAAGTTCTCAGTCCCCCAGTCGCAGGTTGCCTGTGCAATTTTAATTTTCTTTTTATTGTTGTTGTCGTTACTTCATTTGAATATTTGTTTTTGTTTCGCATTTGTTATTGTTTACACTTGTTGTGCCCTGCCGCCCTCTTTGCAAAAAAGTTTTTATTTATTTGTCGTCTTTTACTTTTATCGTGAATTTGTTGTTGTTGTTTTTTTTTCAAAAAATCCACACAAAGCAAATGTTATATTTGTCGTTGTGTTTGTTTTTGTGTGTGTTCTCCATCTATTATCGAATTAAATTCGTTTTTACTTACTTTTTTGTTTTAGTTTGTTCTTGTTTTGTTTTGATTGCGATCAGCCGACTGGATTTTTGTTTAGCGTGCGTATCAAGACCTGCCGTTACGAGCTGCAAATGAGAACTGATTTTTTTCCGAAACATGAAACAACTGAGCGCCATAGAAACGAGGGAGCACACAGTGGGCATTTAAAGTTGCCAGATGGGAGGTTTTGCTATCTAAAAAAAATGATATGTAAAGGGTGATTCTTTTAATACCCTCTGCAATAATAATAATAAAATAATAGTAATAAAAATATTCAGAGAGGTAATCTACAGGGTGAGATGAAAAAACAGCAACCAATTTCAGACTGCTGTCATTTCTAAGCCACTCGTCCGACACCTGTTAAAATTATTCCAGTGACAGCTCATTATATTGTTTACAAGTGTACAATGGCATTTTGCTGAGAATTTTCCAGAAAAAAAGTTATGCGTGATGGAATTCAAGCGTGGTAGTGTGATTTCTTTATATTTGGCTGGAAAACCACAAGCGGCTATCGTTGGAGCACTCCAGCATTAAAATGTGAATAAATCTTTTGTGGCTCGTACCATCGCTCGTTACCGTGATACTGGTAGCGTAGCCCGACGTCAAGGAAGTGGACGGAAGAAAACAGCAACATCAGCAGAAATGGTTCGATATCTGAAGAAGCGACTTGATCGAAACCCGCTTCGCAATGGCCGAAAAATGGCTCGTGAACTGAACATATCGCAATATTCCATTCGGCAAATATTGAAAAATGAGCTGGGGCTAAAGCCATTGAAATTCCAAAAAGTGCAAGAACTTACACCGCAACAGAAAGAAAATAGACTCGAAAGAGCTAAAGAGTTGCTTCGCTTGGCCGAAAGTGGTGAACTGCCGAATTTGGTTTTCTCCAATGAGAAAACATTCGTTGTCCAACCGTTTGTAAACAAACAAAATTATCGCAAAGAGGTCAGCTGAAAATGTGCACCTTCGGTTGGCTACCAGAACTCAAGCGCCGGCCATGGTGATGGCCGAGGCATCAGAATAAATGCCGAATATTATCGTGAAAATATTCTGGAAGGTGTATTCAAGCCTTGGGCACGTAAACATTTTGTCCGCAGACCTTGGACATTACAACAGGACCTTGGACATTACATCAGGACTAGGTATCTCTCGATATTCGTTATTTTGATGATTTTTACCACATTGTTCCACGGATTTGCCTAAAAATTGGTATATGTAGGTCATAATCCGTGGCAGAACATTGAAAATTTAGGTCCACGTTTTCCTATGGTGCACATATAACGATACCCATCTACCATACTCGGTATTTTGATAAACCTAGTCACATTTACCCACGAAATTGTCTTAAATTTGGTATTTAAGAAGATTTGGTAGATAACAATCCTTAAAGTATAAAATTGTTTATGGACGTTCCCGTTTTGGTAGGGCCCCCATTTAACGGCCGCACCCACTTCATGGTTTTTTGAAAAGTGAGCACTATAATTCTCGAAAGGTGTATCGGATTTGATCCAAACTTGGTACATTGTAATGTGTAATTGTCAAACTTAGATCGAGTTCGGAGATGGGCAATATCGGTCCACACCATCTGGTACCTCTCCCACACAATGTCATCATTTTCAAAGAAAATAATTTAATGCACAGAAAGAGAAAGGGTAATCTGATTTCAGTGCTACCTCAGGTGCGAAAATGGACAATATTGGTCCACTCCATCAATTACCTCACCTACAAAGGGTAAACATTTGAAATAATTATAATTCTTCTAAAATGTGATGTAAGTGTCCGATTGTTTTCAAATTACATACATCACAATATTTTTATTAATGCAAGGTCTGCTGTAAAGATGGAATATATCGGTCCACTCCTTCTGGTACCTTTCCCACATAGGGTCAAAATTTTGAATATCCATGAAGCTATTAAAACGCGAAATTAAAATCCAATTCCATACAGACTTGGCACATCTGAATATTTCTATCAACACAGGATCTCTTATAAAGATGGTACAGCTCGGACCATTTCTTCTGCTACTTCTCCCACAAAGGGTAACAATTTCCAATATTTATATCTGTCATAACTTGCGAAATACTAAAACTAACCAAACTAACTAAACTAAAAAAACCTAAATATTTCTCTTAACCAGAAATCTGAATATGTATTTTATAAAATTAGATATGAATGTTCGATTTTCCCAAAATGTGCACATATCTGATATAAAGTATATGAAGTAGTCGATATAGTCCTAATCTGGTACATTGTAATATTTATATCAGTCTTGGGTCAGATTCGAATTGGTCAATATTGGCCAACTGCTTCGGAACCTCCCCTATAGGTGTGAATAATCATAACTCGAGGCCGGGGGCATGCATCTTTCGGCAAAATCCACCTTGGAAAGGAGGGTATATTAACTTTATCATCCTTAAATATTCGTCGTACACCCCATAAAGTATATATATTCAAAATCAGCATAAAATTCTAAGTCGATTTAACGATGTCCGTCTGCCTGTCTGTCTGTCCTTCTGTCTGTTGAAATCACTATACAGCCCACATTATTTGACATAGAGCGCCAAAATTTAGCAGAGCAATTTGTATTGAGTCTACGATGGTTGGTATTGAAAATGAGATATATCGGTCCACGTTCTGGTATAGTCCCCATATAACGGCACCTCCCAATATTCGGTATTTTGATGATTTCGACACATTTTTTCAAGAATTTCTCTGAAAATTGGTAGTTGTAGGTCCCTGTGCGTGTGGCAAGACATTGCATGTATAGATCCACGTTTTGGTGTAGCCCCCATATAATGGTACCTGCCGATATTCGGTATTTTGATGGTTTTTGCCACATTTTTTCAATGATTTGTCTAAAAATTGATATTTGTGTGTCATAATGGGTCCTAGTTCGTGTGACGAAACATTGTATGTATAGGTCCACGTTTTGATGTAGTCCCCATATAACGATACCTCCCAATATTCGTTATATTGATGATTATTGACACATTTTTTCAAGGATTTCTCTGAAAATTGGTAGTTGTAGATCATAATGGGTCCCAGTTCGTGTGGCGAGTCATTGTAATTATAGGTCCACGTTTTGGTATAGCCCCCATATAACGGTACCTCCCGATATTCGGTATTTTGATGGTTTTTGTCACATTTTTTCACGGATTTGTCTAAAAATTGGTATTTGTAGGTCATAATGGGTTCTAGCTCCCTTGGCGGAACATTGCATGTGTAGATCCACGATTTGGTATAGCCCCCATATAACGGTACCTCCCGATATTCGGCATTTTAATGGTTTTTGCCACATTTCTTCTAATGTTTCCTTTACCCTAAGGTGGAGGGTATTAAAAGTTTGGACCGGCCGAACTTAATGTTTTTTTACTCGTTTTTACTTGTTTCTAGTAAAAAATAATAACTCTAAAAACTGCAAAAATATTTTTTCTTTCAGTGTGCTAGAGGGCGTATGCATTGTAAGTAAGAATATTAATTATACGTCACATAGAACAAATCGGCCATATAATTAATTGCATGCCTTTTAAAATTAACGCCCCTCTCTCTCTCACTCTATCTTTCTTGCTGTGATATTTCAAATTAGCCGGAAGTGTTTACATTTGAGTATATTTTTATATTATATGTTTTGTTTTACTATGGAACTTTGTTTTTCGAGACATTGATTGGCTCTGGGCCAGCGAAACAATTGGCAAAGCACAAAGTAAAAGCAAAACATGTGTTCAAGTAATTCACATCTTGCCAAATTCCTTATTTCCACAATACCTAAGTGGTAAACAGATGGTAAAATAAAATCGACTTGTAGTTAAGAACTCAGATGAAGACATTTTCATAACAGAAAAAAACTAAGATTAAGAGAGGAAAATTTGAAATTTTCTTTTTTACCTTTTCTATAAAAACATAGTATTTCCCTTTTTGCAAACATGCCATAAATCCAGAAAAAATATTCAAAATATTGAATTTTTATTACTAATATTTTATAATTAAGTAATATCACGATATCTCTGTTATTTTCTCTTTCATAGCTAGAAATATGCCATCAATCATACGGCTACCATATTTCAACACGTTTTTTACACATTTTTTCACCTCTATCTTTATGTGTGAATAATATTTCTATTTTCATTATCATTCCATTTCGCTGAAAGAGAGGAGAGACGTCAAAGAAAAAAATGTTTGTTCAATTAATTGAAAACTTTACACAAATATTAATTTATGAATATTTTAAAAATGTTGAACTAATGACGTATCCGGTGCAATGCCATTGAATGCAGCTGAGTCATTCATTATCCGAGTGGCCAATAATGGCCACCTGACATTACATTTGGCTGGTGGCCAAGTGCCAGGCGTCGTCACATCAATCCCATTTCATGGGATAATATTCACATTTATGTCTTGGACATTTAATTGTGTCCACTTTGCGGATGGATGGCTAAGATCAAAAGTTTTGAAAGAGAATGAAATTGAAACAAAAAAATGTTATTTAATATTAAAGAATGAGGAAATAATTAACGGCTGTTTAAAATGCAGAGGCATATGAGAGCTTGGTAAGAAAAGCTTTGTGCTGTTAGTTAACAGCATGCATGGATGTTTGGAAATGTTAGTAACATTACATGTGGTACATGGAATGTTAACATTGCTTAAATACAGAGCTGCCAATTTGTATAAATATAAGAAAAAAGTTTCATTAAAAAGAAATAAACCTAAAAAATGGTTAATTTCTCGTTTTTCGTAGGAATTGGCATTCTGCAAACCTTTAATTAACTGATGGAACAAAAACAAGTTAAAAAACTATCGGTCGATTTTGTGGGCTAATGTTCGATTATTTAAATATATTTTGACTTCTGTTATGATTATTCAAATTTTTGACCTTCTATGTAGTAGGGTCTGATGGAATAGGCCAAATATAGTCCATTTCGTATCAGACCTAAATAAATATGATACAAATATTGCGACGTGCCAGGTTCGGACTATCTTGGTTACTTCTTTCACTTTATATGAGATATGTGATCAT